TGATCCTTGATTGGCAAACATGCAGGATCTTCAAATGTTATATAAGTAACTGAACCAAGGATCTCGAGAGGAGAACTAAACCAAACAAATTCTACTACAGAGCAGACCTTTCGCAATGTTGTGTCTCCATCTTTATACTTGCAAAGTGAACATAATCAATACAATAAATAAACCTAGGTGTACATTATATATGAACCTTACATCAGAGATTTGTAAAAAGTACAAAGAAGACAGACAAGATTGAACATGGGTTTTATTGATTTAGAGACTAGATAAACCCTATTATAGAGTGCCGGGGAAGTATAATGGTGGGTACTGAAGACAAGGAATTATCCATATCATTGAGGACGTGCAGTGGCGCGAGCTTGAGATGTAGTGAAGGTGGAAGGGTTACAAGAAGGATCTGTACTAGGTAATATATTTTTGATTTAGCAGTAGTAAGCTTAAGAAACATATCCAATATTAGAATTATTGGTGTTTGGTATTAGATTATGACATCGATAAAACTAAGAAATTGATGAAAGTGGAAAAGACAACAATAGTACAATTTCTTCTGCAATCCTGACTTTACGCATTACTGTGTCACTTTTACTTTGTTCCTCTAAGAACATCTACCACCCGAATATGTCAAATCCACAAAGAAAGATAAAATACAGATAAGGTGGGAGCGATTGGATTACCTTTGGAGGTTCTTTACCTCCTTGGAAGAGGTACTTTACATCAAGAAGTAGCGGATCAATTTTAGCAGGTACCTTATACTTGAAACCCACTATATAAATTTCTACTGATGCTGATCGACTAGCTTGTGGTTTATCCACTTGAACCTTCTCAAAGAGCTGTATAGAACATCCATAGGTGAGAAAATAGCTTATATTGAACAAAAATTCTTGGCCACATTTGTAGGAAAGAAAATTACCGGTCTATGATAGAAAAGGACAGCAGTATAATCTTGGAATCTAAAAACCTATAGGACAACAATAGACAAAACATCATTTCATTCATTGCATCCCCATTATAAGGTTGACTACACCAGCTACTGCGGCTAAATCGAGTGCAAAACATATCAGGCAAAATGCATTATAGTATACCATAACAAACTTTAAAACCCAATAAAGCAATGAGTTAACAATACATAATCGTATATTAAAACATGAGCACTTGTTATCTTGAAACCATTCAAGGAATCAAATTTGTACTAAATGGACATTAAAAAAAATTCATACAAAGTTTAGCCTAGGCGCCCAAACTTTATTAACGGAAAATGACACTAAACCCAAAATTTAATAGTGAAAATGACGGTGAATATAAAATACGAGCCACTTGTTTATTCGTGCGATATAGTACCATCCCCATTTTTAGTACACGAGATAAAGTTTAGAGGCCACTAAATCAAATTTCTTCAACTTCAGTACTTGTAATTGTTATTGTGTCATATGCACAATTAACTTTTCTCAGTTATATTAATCATTATGCCGCATCAGAGCCAATGTTAATTCGACTATAAAAAATCAAATTCAAGTAATTATATACATATAATAGATATTTGAAATTATACATATAACACATACCTTGGTGACAAAAGTTCCTTTGGAAGCTAAAAGCTTCGTAGCAAGCTTAACCGAGTCAGTCACCAGAGCGTTCTGACCGGTAGCCTCCCACACATCCTTCGAAAGCCCTGTATCCATTCTCTACCATGAGTTTCTTAACCAACGCTCTACACTTAGGCTGGGTGATATCCTCCTGTACGGAGATGGCACTGCGGATTGGTCGAATCGGGTCAAGGCCGATGCAGATTACTAAACTTTCGATTGGCATCTTCTCGATGGCCACTTGCATCCATCCACCTGGCATGGCGCAGAGGTCAAG